TCCTTACTCAGTTAAAACTACTGTTGCTTTCTACTCTGCCTTGCTTTCCTCCAATTTCCTCCAGTGTTGGGTGGAGCTGGGCTTTTCAGGGGTAGGCTAAGAGGAATCTGAGTTGGGATATCTTCGGTTTGATGGTGGGATATATTAGTGTGGTTTGCAGTCCCTTCTGAGATTGTTAAGTTATTGTTAGCTGTCCCACTGGAGGACGGCTTCCAGGAACATTCTGCTGCCCGCTGTGCCCACACGCCTGGGTCCTGACTTGATGTCCAGAGCTGTTACCAGAAAGAGGTTCCAATCAGACCCCGAGAGAGAGGGTTCTTGGATCTCACACCAGAAAGAATGTGTGGCGAGTCCATGCAGTACAGTGAAAGCAGATTTATTAGGAAAGTAAAGGAATAAAAGAATGGCTACTCCACAGGAAGAGCAGCAGCTTGGGCTGCTGAACAAAGGACACTTACAGCCACTTCTTGATTACATGGTAAACAGGTGGTAGATTAATCATGAGTTTTCTGGGAAAGGGGTAGACAATTCCTGTCACAGAGGTTCCTCCCCCTTTTAGACCACATAGGGTAACTTCTTGATGCTGACATGGTATTTGTAAATTGTCATGGCACTGGAGAAAGTGTCTTTCAGCATGCTAATGAATTATAACTAGTGTATAATGAGCAGTGAGGATGATCAGAGGTCACCTTCATCGCCCTCTTGGTTTTAGTGGGATTTGGCCATCTTCTTTTCTGCAAGCTGTTTTATCAGCATGGTCTTTATGACCTGTATCTTGTGCTGACCTCCTATCTCATCCTGTGACTTAGAAAGCCTAACCTCCTGGGAATGCAGCCTCATTTGCCAGTTGGTCTCAGCCTCATTTACCCAGCCCCTATGCAAGATGGAGTTGCTGTGGTTCAAACGCCTCTGACAGAACCGGACTGCAAAACTGAATGTGGTCTGTGTCTTCAGCACAGAGAGTATGTGGCAAGTGGAGGAGAAATAAGAAATCTTAAAAACAACAACAACAACAAAAAACAACTATTACTAATCACAACCAGTTTTTATCTGTCTATTCTCTCTATAGGCAATGATATCACAAAACTGTTGCCATCTGAAGAGGCAATCAAAGCATATGCACTCAAAAAATAGAGAAAATAATTTATAGAAATGTGTCAGGCAGTTAATAAAAAGGATTGTTATTTTTCTGGATTTTGTTAAAATTTGTGAATTTATCAGTTTTTAAAAATGTGTTGTGAGGACCTCTTTTCTCATTCTAGTTACTTTTACATTAATTTTGTGTTTGTAATTTTGTATTATTTTTCTTAAAGAGGACCCCTCCTCCCAAACCTGGAAGTGACCCTGCTCAAACTCCTACTCTTAGCAATGGTGAGACAGTATCTGCCTCTGAAGATTCCAGTCAGTTTGGAAAGAGAAATGGGGCTGTGAGGTGTGCAGAAACCAGAGTGTACTTTAGAAACTACTGTAAGCTGGGCACAGTGGCTCACACCTGTAATCTCAGCAATTTGGGAGGCTGAGGCAGTCAGATCCCCTGAGGTCAGGAGTTCAAGACCATCCTGGCCAACATGGTGAAACCCAATCTCTACAAAAATACAAAAATTAGCCAGGTATAATGACAGGTGCCTATAATCCTAGATACTTGAGAGGCTGAGATGGAAGAATCACTTGAACCAAGGAGGCGGAAGTTGCAGTGAGCCAAGATCATGCCTTTGCACTCCAGCCTGGGCAACAGAGTCAGAATCTGTCTAAAAAAAAAAAAGAGAAAAAGAAATGAAAGTACTGTGGGTATCCTCCACTGAAGGTGGGAGGCTGAAGAAGGGGGCAATAGCACCACAAAGCTCCTGAGAGGGTTAGCAGCAGCCTGCAGTGGGGGTGGGATATGTCCAATGTTTGCAAAGAGCAAAGGAGGAGTGGGGCAACTTATAGATCACTCAGCCCTTTGTAATCTATGGTGGTTTTCCTTATGGCCCCACCCAAACCTGAATTCGCTGATGCAGTTTCCTTGGAAATCTCAGTCCAAAGGGCATTTTTGGTGCCACCTTGGGAGTGAGGAAGCAGATGTTAGTAAGCGGAGCTGCCTCACACGCTGTCTGTTCAGCCTCCCTGAGGGCTCTTGAATAGAGGAGGTAGAAATATGGCTGAAGGCAGGTGGCTGCTGGTGCACTTGGAGTCAAGGTTGGAGCCTCCCCTGTCCTCTGTTACCCAGACTACCCAAGCTACTTCATTCTGGCCCCAGGGAGTTCCAGTGGCTGCAGGGCAGGAACCTGGCTTTCCTTGAGAATGTGTCTCCTTTTGTGATTTTCATTTCTCCACCTGGTGTCTGGACTGCAAATTACAGGAGAGGATGATGCATTTGTTCTCCCCACTGAACAAAGGGATTGCAGTAGTAGTGGGTGGCATGGTCTTATCCAAGCTCCAGGAATGGTGCTCCCCCTGGCTCCCCTTGAAGTCATCAGGGCTCAAGCTGATCACTCTCTTGAAGGAAGCTTCCCCTGGGGACAGGCTCACAGAGGAGGCTGCTTTGTTCAGAGGCTGAGGTGTAGGGACAGGAATGACGTGCCTATTGACTCCAGGATTTTTTTTTTTAATTACTGTACAGAGAGAGCACATTCTCATCTGGAATTCTAACAGAGAGACAGAAGGAGGCAAATAATCATGGTTCTCACAGTAGCCTGGCCAGGCTGCCCTGGGGTCTCCCTTAGAATTATCTGTTTCTGGCTTATGAGTGCAGGGCCCTTGTTCCTCAGCTTCTGTCTTTATCATGCCGTCGGAATGAACAGCACACACAGCCCATGCTAACCACCCATCAGACATTCTATCACCTTCTATACACAATATACACACAGCAAAATCCTATACACAGTATACAGGAAGGATATATACACAATTAAATAGGTAGCATTGGGATAATGCTATGGGCTGAATTGTCTCCTCCCCAAATCATATGTTGAAGTCCTAACTCCCAGTGCCTCAGAATGTGATTGAGTTTGGAGATAGGGTCTTTAAGGGGGTAGTTGAGTTGAAGAGGTCACTAATCATAGGTACTGGATTGGGTTGAACTACCTTCTAATCTGGCATGACTGGTGTCCTTATAAGAAAAGGAAACTAGGACACAGATATGTAAAGAGGGAAGACTATCTGAGGACACAGAGAGCAGACGGGCATGAACAGGCTAAGGAGAGAGGCCTCAGAAGAACCCAACCCTGCCTGACACTTGGTCTCCAGATCTGTAAGAAAAGAAATTTGGTTGCTTAAGTCCCCCAGTCTGTGCTATTTTGTTATGGCAGCCCTAGAAAACAATACTGATAATGACAGTAACTTCATTGTATCAGATATCAATAGCCAGGAAAGGTAGGCCTTCAAGATCTGCATTGCCTTGTTTTAACACACTGATTGCCAGGCATTTCACATTTGGGGCTTTGGAGCCAATGGTCCAGGCCATGCCTGTTGTTTCCTTCAGAACTTAGAGTGACTTTTGCCAAAGTTATCTGCACCCCAGCATCCTCTGGTGAATTCCTGTACCTGCCATCATCCCTGATATGCTGGGAGTTTTGAAGCCTGTGGACGTTTCTTTTCTCCCTCATTTAAGAGTCTGATCACGAAGTAAGAAAGAAAATATGTCACTGTAGATTTTCTTAAATAAAGGAATAGGGCCTACATCTGGAGGAGTGGGAAGTTGGACATAGGGTGATGGGCTGGGCATTCGAAAAGGGGGAAAGAAGTGGCTACAGCAAAGAAGGAGGATCTAGCCTGGGGAAGAGAACCTGGAAGAAGTGAGAGCTGGTCTTAAGAGAACAGCCGGCAGAGGGGAGTGAATGCACAACTTATAGGATAGCACTAGCCAATAGCACTTTTGGTGATGATGGGATATTCTATATTTTCAACATCCAATATGGTAGCCTCTGGTCACATGTGGCAATCAAGCACCTGAAATGTGGCTAAGTGTGACTAAGGAGCTGAATTCTTGGTTTCAGTTAAATTTAAATAGAAATAGCTACATGTGGCTATCATATTAGACAGCATGGTCCTCGAGTTCAGACACAGCGCACTGTTGCTTGCCTACCCAGCAGCTACTTGCCTTTTTCTTTGCTTACACACCACCCTCCACCCTCATTTTGTTCAGACAGTCAGAAGCCATGGACTTCAGGAGAGACTGGGTCCCTTAGAGCTATACAGGAGAGGTGAATCTTCATTATCTAAGCCAGTTATGGTAATTATGTTCCTCTTGCTTGTGATTGGTTTAGGAGTAGGCAGATGATGCAAATCAAGCCAAAGAGACACAGGGGGAGTCTGCTGGAGGCTTCTGAGAATGTTGTCTTAAAAAGGGGTCAAAAAGAGGGACTAGTCCTCCTTCTGGATCTTAGATGTGTGAAGATGTGATGCTTAGAGTTGCAGCCACCATCTCACGCCCACAGGGGGACAAAAGCCAGTATACTGAGGATGATCTAAAAGATGGAAAGAATCAAGGTCTTCAGTGATGTTACCAAGCCACATCAGAACCAACCTTGGGATGGCCCCATCCCCTTTGTTAGTAAAGACACTTGTGTCTTCTGGTAAATGCAGTCATGGGGACTCTTTTGGGATAGCAAATATGTGGCACTGAAGTCTGTGTTTCTGCCTCCAATGTGAATTCCATAAAGTATAGCACTTTTTCTCATTGTTCTTAAACCATTATTCCAAGCAGCTACTACCAATCTACTGGAGTTAATACGCTAAGGAAAAATCTGTTTGCTATTCCTGCTCTAGGGCAAAAGAACACAAGCATCTGCTTTGCCACAAACTCCCCCACAGACATATTCTTCCCACTGGTCCTGGCTAATAATTGGAAAGTGTTCTTGTAAGATTAACAACACATAAATATCCATGAAACCAGCCCACAGAAACAATTCAAATAAGCCCAAATCTAAGAAACAGGCTTTCTCTATACCCCAGGACATTAAAAAAGTGCTTATTTTTTGAAGGGTCAATTAGAAGGGAAGTCAGTCACACAGCAATCGTTATTTGAATATAACAGAGCAAAAAAATGCTCTTTTATTAATCTGATATACATTAAATATCTTTGTAGCTGTTACATGAATGTTAGTTATCTGGCCTATACATGTATACACAATTCCACATTTGATAGATTTATGCTGTACAGGAGCCATCCCACATGGAGCATGCCCTTTCACAAGGATACACATGGCTGTATCATTATATTCGTCAAAACACACTTGGTCAAACATTTTGGCAATTGGAAATCAGACACAGAGGAGCATACCAGAAAGATGAGTTCACAACAGGACCAGCTGTACTTAAGATGAAAACTCCAAAACCTGAAACAGAAGTTACTGGGGTTCACACATGCAGCACACATATATACAGTACAATAGGGGTAACTGGAACATTCATAGCAAGAGATCTTAAACAGCATTAAAAACAGAAAGAAAAAAAAATAAAACAAAGCCAAACAACCCAAACACCAAAACCGACAGGACCGTTGCCAAGATCTCGTTAAAAAAGACCGTGGATAGTACGTTTAGCATATGTTCAAAATGGAAGTTCACCTGAAAGAGAAAACTCTTCTAGGATGTTATTTAGTGTATCTAGGTATTAACAAAAGACATAGGATCTGTTCAATATGTTCCTGGACCAGGATGAGGATACATAACTGCGTGGATGCTAAGAAAGTGTGTAAGAAGAAAGGACATTTCTTTTTTCTTCTGACTGACTCTGGATATAGATTCAGTAAAGTAAATATATAACAATTGCAGCAGAACTGAAATTAGGCCAATTCATCACGTTCTATGTAGGCAGGCCTGGTAAATGTCAAGGCAAGGAAGGAGTTTCCTTCTTAGATGACTACATAGGAGCCAGAGGGGAGACACTTTACAATTTCAAACTACTTTCATTTTGTTTGCATAGCATGAAATAGCTGATTTTACCATACATTCTCCCTGAAGGAATTACACCCATAGAAAATGGTGGATTCTCTGTACTGGGTCCTATTGTGAGTCAACGCAAATGCAGAAAGAAGCCCTTTGTGAATCATATGAGGTTGAGCTTGCTAAGTCTTTCCCCTTCCTTGGATTTAGGGGCAATGCTGACCCATAAACACATGAAACTCAAGGTGGTGTGGCCTGGGTCTATGCACTGCGAGGCCAAGTCTTCTTTAGGGTTTTAGATAGTGATATGCTGGTTAATATTTAACAACTGTCTTGGAGATTAGGAGGAGTCTGATTTGTATGGCTTTGTTGCTTTCCATGGTATAAATATTCCCACCATAGCTGATCTCAAGCTACAAATATACTATCACTTGGGAAGATGTGTGTAGTATTATACCCTTATATAGTATTTCTACCATACAGACATAATGGGCATAGATAATGGTCCAATGTAGTAAAATAGGTAGACAGTGATGAGCTTTGAATATATTGCCTTTGTTTATAGCTATAATTGATCTAATCTTAATATTTAGTAATAGCTGTGTTTCTCAACTGACTCTCAAAATTCCTGAAACGTTAAACATCAGTTCTGAGGGACTGGTTTGAAGCTGTTCCAGCTCATCACTAGCTCTAGATGACCCCAGCCACTGTGAGCAGGCTGCCTAGGCACTCCCCAGGCACTGCAAAGCTGTTTCGGACTTTGCATCCCTGCTATTGGGGTAGGTTACTAGTTTGAGTTAAACCCCATCTGAGTCTAAACAAAGGGTTGAAAGCTGCTTTCTGTTCCTAGTCCTGGGCGCTCTTGGATCTAAGGGCAGCATGGATGTGGTAGAGTAGGCAGAGTGTGGACAACCTCTGCAATTTTAGCATTCAGACCTAACCAGAAGGTACCTACCCTTCCACACCAAGTGGGACTTTCTGCAGACATGGAGAGTATCATCGACCTCTACTAGTCAATGAATCTCGAGAATCCAGGTGGGAACATCCTGGTCTTTCAGGAGTCAAATACTAAGCTCTCAGCCTTCTGCTCCAGAGATGGGCTGCTCTGATTCCATGCCAGCTGTGTCCATCCTCTCAGGGCAAAGGCACTGAGAAGCAGTTGGAAATCTAGCCCACCACAGGGAGCTGTGCCAAAGCCAGCAGACTCGCATCCCTCTCCAGAGGGAGAGGGAAGATTCACATTCCCTCTGCACCCACCCCTGCTCTCCACGTTCTCCATCCTCTGTGCCTCCACAGCAGGCATGGATGGGCCTTTCATCCCCAGTGCCCCAGGAAAGCTTGACCTTGCTTTTGTATACGGCTAGAATTAAGAGGTTGTCGACCAGAGGAGGAAAGAAAAAAAAAGGGAAAGAAAGGAAATGAGTGGCCACTGCCCTGAGGAGGTAAGCAGGAGAGAACAGGTGGGGAAAAAGGGCAATGGGGCTCTCAGAGGAGGGTAGAGGGTCACAGACAACTACTCTCTTTCTGCTCTGCCCCCCTGCAGGCCCCAGAACGCCAAACATCCTTTGCAACTTCAAGACACTTGCAACAACATGCACCAGTTTTAAACTGAAACCCCAAAATGTCCCTGTTACTGGCTGACAGAACCTGTTTTCTGGATGGTTTATCTGCTGAGGGTAGAGAGGAGGGAAACTGTTTTAGGATGTCTGTCAAGATAGTTGACTCACTCATAAATCTTCAAAATCAGAAAGGAAACACCCTGGGAGGCACAGGCCAGGGGAGTGGCAGCAGCTGCAGGCTTTGCTGACTTGGCTCTGAAGAGGAAACTCCAGCGTTATTTGCTGGGGAACAGACTCTCTAGCTCCTGTTGCTAGTTTCACACCACAAAAAGAATACCTCAGAAGAAAGCGAGACTTTAGGCTGGGCACAGTGGCTCATGCCTGTAATCCCAGCACTTTGGAAGACCGAGGAGCATGGATCACCTGAGGTCTGGAGTTTGAGACCAGCCTGGCCAACACGGTGAAACCTTGTCTCCACTAAAAATACAAAAAAATTAGCCAGACATAGTGGTGTGCACCTGTAATCCCAGCTACTTGGGAGGCCAAGACAGGAGAATTGCTTGAATCTGGGAGGCGGAGGTTGTAGTGAGCCGAGATTGCACCACTGCACTCCAGCCTGGGTGACAGAATAAGACTCCGCACTCCACCCCCCATGAAACAAAACAAAAAAGCTCTAGAAAGATGGGGCTATCTCTGCTCTGATTCTTTTCTTTGAATAATATCTTAGTGCAACATCCTGCTGAGATCATTTAAGGAAACAGCTTATGCGTGCTTTCATTTTTCTCATTTTCCAAATACTAGTCAGTAGTCTCTCCAACAAAAACCAGGTAATCAAGGAGATTTCTCCTCTCATCAACGGTAATCCCAATGACTGAATAGTTCCTGCACTGCCTGCTGAAGGCTGTTATTTGTTTTAAATGTGGAAAAATAACACATTGTATTTATGGGGTGGTGGGGGAGGAGGAGGGTGCATATGTAGTGGGAATCAGTGTGAGGGTGTTTTCTCTCATTCTGTTTCCCTTGCTCTCATTTAAATCCTCCAAAGGCTTAATTATGGCACACAGCACAGTGCCTCAATACCTATCACATGGGAGGTGCTCAGTAAGTATTTACTGGATAATCATATGAATTGACAAAAGATCAGCAAAGTCTCTGCCCAGCTCTTTCCCTGCCCAACCCTGCTAGCCTTAGGTAAGAGCTGAAACAGACCCATGAGCTGTATTCTTTTAACTCAAAATCCTGGGATTACTAAACTGCATTTAGATATTGTTTGAGAAAAACTGAAGGGAGCCCTGGCAATGGCCCTGTGACTGTTGGTGACAGACAGGTGACAAGAGGAATGGTCAACATTTAGAGCAAAAGAACATCACATGGAGAACTGTTACTCTATACCTGAAACAATGAAGGGACATGCAATACATCCAGGAGATACTAACAGGTTTTCTTTTTTTGTGTGTCTACATTACAGATTACAAGAGAAGCTTTACCTAAAACACACATTTTGCTGAGCAGAAACAAAAGCCGTAAGAAACGTATAGTCCACTTCAGAGTTTCCCACTGTGCAGATTTCTTTCTCTTGTTGCAATACGACTGGTGTTTTTAGGTTTAGTAACTGGACTAAGTTTGGCACGATGTGGAGATTAAAGAAAACCTAATATGCAGCCAATATGCAAACACCAATATGCCAGTTGCCTTTCTATGATACCGGTGAAGGTCAAATTCAGACATTCCTGGCTTCAGAGCCTTTAATGCATGAACAGATAAGGTGTCTTACGGAAGAAATAGGTAAAGGCCATTTTGACATCAAACAGAAACAAAAATGGAGAATATCATATTCTATTTTGATTGGCAGAGGCAATCAGAAAGTATTCCCCTGGACTGCTTTGGAAGTGATCCCAGCATTTAGAAAGCTGTGCCCTCGTCTCTTTGCTGGAAGCTTATCAATGGCATCTTGGACTCTCCCTTCTGTCACTACATTTCTTTTCCCACCTCCCCTTTGATCTCTTAAGGTATGTTGAAAAGACAACTAAGCAGTTTTTGTTGAAAACATGAACTCTGATTCGGTGAGATTTGTCTATTTGCCAGTATAAGTAAAATCACTGAAAAATTGTTTCTGAAAACCTACATATAATACTTAAGGCCATATTTCAAGAAAATAATGGAATAAACAGGAAGGAGAGCTGTAGGGTAATACTGCGATCAGGGAGTCTTCTAACCTAAGCGTGTTTATTGGTCAGGGTGGGGCCTTTTCCTGGATGGGCAATGGTAACTGTCAAACCTGCAGTGAACAGAGATACTATACAAGATGCTGAGATACTGGCAGGACAGACAGCACAGAGACTGTGCTTTCTGGCCTAGTCCATGCGGGCTTCCCAAATGACGTCCTACACTCTTTTTATGCTTGTCTATTTCCTAATTTTTCAGTTTATAAATTAAACCTATTTAGCGCTTGTAAAAATGAGTTGAGGCTGCCGGTGGCTCACGCCTGTAATCCCAACACTTTGGGAGGCTGAGGCGGGCTGATCACTTGAGGTCAGGAGTTCAAGATCAGCCTGACCAACATGGTGAAACCCTATCTTTACTAAAACATATATAAATTAGCTGGGCATGGTGGCATGTGCCTGTAGTCCCAGCTGCTTGAGAGGCTGAGGTAGGAGAATTGCTTGAACCCGGGAGGCAGAGTTTGCAGTAAGCCAAGATTGCACCACTGCACTCCAGCCTGGGTGACAGAGCAAAACTCCATCAAAGAAAAAAAAAAAAAAGATGAAGCCATTTTCATTACTGTGTTCTAGAATGCTGGAGAGCAGACTAATCCCAATGCTTTACTTTGTGCATGGGGAAAGTGAGAACCAGAGATGTTCAATGACTTTTAGTCTCCCCAGCAAGATCTGGGTCCCTGTACTGCTTGGTGGTGAAGGTCAGGCTAGGACCCATCTATCGTGTCTCCCAGGTCTGTACTGTGGTGTGAGATGATTCAGGCAACAAGGACTGAATGTGAGTTGGGTGCCTTAAGACCCAATACCTGGGACAGAATGTGGTACATACAGAATTTACAGTCTGAAGCAGTTGTTTTTCCCCACTGAGAAGATTCTGTGATAATAATGGAACTTGGGAGTGTTCTGGATTGATTCCAGAGTAATAGGGAAATTTTTAGTTAGAAAAGGAGGTAGAAATAAGTGGACTATTTGCCAGGTTTTCATTTTTGCACAAATTTTCATTTTCCTTCTACTGTAGATGAAATGAGATGCCAGTTGCATATTTGGGTGCCAGTGGCCTGCTACACTGACACAGCTGAGAGTTTCTATTTAATATCCTGGCTGTTTCTTAATCTTTAGCTAAATTCAGAGCAAGCTAGACAGGCCATACCACATACTTTGGAAATGATTAGAGCTCTCTTCGAAAATCAAGGTGATGAACAATCTCAAGGAGGCAGGGAGGAGTGCACAGAAGGCGGGAGAGGTGTTGACCAGAAGGTTTGTGACCACAGACTGCCCGAGAGTTTAGGAAAGATTCCTCGTAGGCCACCAAGGATGCTGGATTAGGTAACAAGTAGGCCAAGAATGTCCTAGAGCAGGGGACACTGGATGGCAGGTCTGATGAAGTACGGTTTTGCTGGTTTATCTCATGCTGACCCAACCCAGAGTTTAAATAAAATTCTGAATAACTGTGCTCTGCAACTTGAGAGATATTTTATGCATTTAGACCCTAGAGCAGACATTAGAGATATTTTAAAAAGTAACGATAGTCTAGTAGCAAAGTTAATTATCACAGAGGACTAGAGACAGCAATACTCATATACATTTCTATTTTTCCTTTGATGGGCTGATGGAGATGCACTCGTTGGTATTACAGTTATTTCTGCACATGCTGCATTCAACTAAAAGATCTGCTCAGGTCCCTAAATGCCTTTTTTTTTTTTTCTCTTTTGAGATGGAGTTTTGCTCTTGTTGCCCAGGCTGAAGTGCAATGGCATGATCTCGGCTCACTGCAACCTCCGCCTCCCGGGTTCAAGTGATTCTCCTGCCTCAGCCTTCTGAGGTCAGGAGTTCGAGACCAGCCTGACCAACATAGAGAAACCCCATCTTTACTAAAAATACAAAATTAGCCAGGCGTGGTGGTGCATGCCAGATGTCTTTTTTAAGAAGACAAATCGGGGATAGATAGGTGGGAAAATCTATCTGGAATATGGAAGAAGAAAAACATACAGGGTACTTTCTTGGGTTGTTTGACTGCTGTCTTTGTTCTCCAAAAAAATGATAGGACGCAGAAGTGAGAGAAAGTTCTTTCTTTCCTTGCACTGTTGGTATCTTTCAAATGCATCTTGTCTAGTTTTCAGTGATTTTTCTTCTTCCTGCCACTTTTGAAGTTTTTGATTCAGGTTTTCCTGATGTTCTAGCCCTGATCACAGGTCCCCAGGGAACCACCCTCTTTCCACTGTCCCCAACACCAGTCTGTTCCCCTCTGCAGACCAGAATTACTTCATGGGGAAGTAGATTAATGGCTTATGTTAATGAAAGAAGCTTTTCACTTAGTCTGAGCTCTACAGGGATCATTAGGAAGGGGAGGGGAAGGCAGGGGGGCCTCAGGGGAGTTAGGACATCTCTGAATATAATGATTAGTGGAAACAAAAGCTTTCCCTTCCTGGAGCACCCCCCCCAGCTGTGGCTTGTCTGAAAATGCCTATAATAAGTAACAAGGATAACCCTCTAACAAGGCCGTTTAAAAAGGAATATTGTTTAAACATGGGATTTATTCCTGGCTTCTGGTCATTGGCTGCAAGTCTACAAGGAGGCTTCAGATTTCAAAGAAGATGTGTAAAAAGGACAAGCCTGGGGGAAGGGGAGCCTGAGAGGCGAGAAGGTCGTGTAGCTGACAGCTGGCCCGTGGGAATGTCCTGGCTGACCTCTTTTTTCCAAGCCCAGGCAGATTCCAGAGGTAAAATGAGCAGCCAAACAACCACAGGGAGATGGTCTGTCTGTGAGAGGTCCCTCAGGAGTACAGGCGGGTTCTGATTTTACAGGGAGCCAGGAGTGCACTGAGCAGTGCATCAGCCCTGGGGAAGCTAGAGGGACAGACCCTCTTTGGTGATGCCAGGTGGGAAGCTGAGTGTCAACTGCGGGGCAGGTGGGATGGGTGTCCTGGGGGACCAGTCCCACAGGAAAGAGGTACCAGAAAGAGGTACTATTTTTTATGTCCAAATGGCTGTAGGTGTGAATTTCTTCCTAATTTGCAATTTACAATTTAGCTATCCACTGGCAATCTCTTGACTAGAGACAGTGTGGGTAAGTGGCAGAATCAAGTAGGCAGACGGTTTTTAAGAAGCAGCTTTCTTTCTTTGAATCTGCTGTCTGGCAAGACCAAGGGAAGGCTGAAGGGGTGGGAGTGGTCAATGGAGGCAGAAGCTCTCGCTCTGATCTCCGATTTTCAACCATTTTGAACCACTGCCACAATCACAGACACTGTCACGGTCCTTTTTCCTCACATTCTCCAGAGGTTTAATTGGGCTTTCTGACAGAAATCTTACTTATGCAGCTCACTCTGATTTTTGCTGCTAATTGCAGAGCTTTTATTTTTCTTGTCAGCAGAGCCACCTTAACTGTCTTGCCCCAAAGGGCCCCACCCAGCCCTGTTTGGTACCACATGGTTTTCTTTGAAAGGCTCTGCTATGACAGCGAGAATTACTGGGTATCCTTTTCTATGTAAACAGGAAATATCACTCTGTTACAAAAAAAAAAAAAAGAATTCCTCTCCTCAGCACAAATGCAATAATGTGCCGGCTTATATTTCCTGTTAATGTCAAATTAGGAGCAGGATCTATTCCTTATACTAGCCCAGTCTTCTGGCCTCTAAGCTTTCTATGAACCGAACCCCAGGGAAGCCTGGCTGCCTATGGCATTCTAGAAATGCTTCCACAGCTTTGGGGGAGGCAGTAGCATCACAGGTCAGAAAGATAACAATGCGTTAAAAAAACAAAACCCCAAAAAAGTGTGCAAAATCACAAAGGGACAAGATGATATGCTTCTACATTTTAAGTCACAGCGTGTGTTTATGTTCTGATACTTGATCACCTTTCTGTATAGGAAAACTCTGAAGCCTTGAGTCAGGAAGGAGAATTGACCCAGAGCAGGAGGAAGAAATGCAGGAAGGATGGCTTTGTTCCCCATTACATCAGAACCTGGGTTCGTGTGTCAGGCAGGCGCAGCCCCACGAGTCCTCCACACACGAGCACAGTAGAAGCCAGCAGGATGGGGATTGCTTTGGTGATGCCGACCAGAGAGCCAAATATTAAGTTTCCCAGGACGGCTGCTGCCTTGCATAGTGCATTTAAGAAGCCAAAGCCTGTTGCCCTGCAAAGAAAAGAGACATGAACAAGTTTGAGAAAATGCCTTCCATGATTCCAACTTTAGACAAAAACGTACTAGATTTTCAATGCTCTTCACTCAGACTGTGTTGTACATCAGTGGAGCAAATCAATGCCTGTTAGCAAATCTGGGAGTAGAGAACTCCAGCTGTTGGTATTGTTCCTCCAGCCCTCTGTTGACTTTCTTACCATAGCTTCCATTGCCTCTTACTCTGCCTGTAAGTCCCAGTGTATTGTAAACAGAAAGGGAGAGAAAATTGCAGGGAGTATGAAACATCTCTAGTGGTTTCATGTTGTTGGAAGGAAGGGTCTTTCTCTTTCTCATTTTTTTAGAGACTAGGTCTTGCTCTGTTGCCCAGGCTGGAGTGCAGTGACATAGCAGTAGTTGATGGCAGCCTTGAACTCCTGGGCTCAAGCAATCTTTCCACCTCAGCCTCCTGAGTAGCTAGGACTACAGGTGCATGCCACCATACACAGCTAATTTTTATTTTTATTTTTGTAGCCATAGGGTCTTGCTATGTTGCCCAGGTGAGTACAGTGGTACAATGATAGCTCACTGCAGCCTCTACTTCCTAGGTGCAAGTGATCCTCCTACCTCAGCCTCCTGAGTCCCTCCTGGGACTACAAGTGTGCACTGACATGTTCAACTAATTTTTAATTTTTTTGTAGAGATGGAGGATCCCCCTACATTACCCTGGCTGGACTTGAACTCCTGGGCTTAAGCAGTCCTCTTGACTTAGCCTCCCAAAGTGCTGGGATTACAGGCATGAGCCAATGCTCCCTGCAGGAAAGGTCTCTTAAATCAAACTGTAATTCTACTCTATCCAAACTCTTCTCTCAGGAGCAAAATAGGCATAAAGCACAATTCATTAGAGAGAGGCAGGTCACCTCTGCTCAGTGTGGGAGAAGCTGGGACACCTCCTTTCATCCCAGACAAAGGGTGGCGAGGGTGATATAGAAAAATTGAGCAGTTTCTCATCTCTTTACAAGAGTGACTTATTATTTTGTTTTGTAAATTCCCATAATTTCAGAAACATCTATGTTTAAACGGAAAGTTAAATTTCATTCCAAAGTTAAAATGTATGTCAGGCTGAGCTTGGAGGATTTCTTGAACCCAGGAGTTTACGACCAGCCTGGGCAACATAGCAAGACTCTGTCTCTCTTAAAAAAAAAAGAAAGAAGAAAAAACTGTCGTAAGTACAATACATTTATTTAATTTTTTACTCCCTATTTTATTGTATTTATTTTCATGCTGTTTTATTATTTATTTATTTTCTATTTTACTTTCGGTTCTGGGATACATGTGCAAAATGTACAGGTTTGTTACATAGGTATATGTGTGCCATGGTGGTTTACTGCACCTATTGACCCATCCTCTGAGTTCCCTCCCTTTATCCCCCAACCCCCAATAGGTCCTGGTGTGTGTTGTTCCCCTCCCTGTGTCCATGTGTTGTCATTGTTCAACTCCCATTTACGAGTGAGAATACGTGGTGTTTGGTTTTCTGTTCCTGCAAAGGACATGATCTCATTCCTTTTTATGGCTGCATAGCATTCCATGGTGTATATGTACCATATTTTCTTTATCCAGTCTATCATTGATGGACATTTGGGTTCGTTGCAAGTCTTTGCTATTGTAAATAGTGCCACAATAAACATACATGTGCATGTGTCTTTATGGTAGAATGATTTGTATTCCTTTGGGTATATACCCAGTAATAGGATTGATGGGTCAAATGGTATTTCTGGTTCTAGATCCTTGAGGAATTGCCATACTGTCTTCCACAATGGTTGAACTAATTTACATTCCCACTAACGGTGTAGAAGTGTTCCTATTTCTCCACAGCCTCGCCAGCATCTATTGTTTCTTGACTGGCATGAGATGGTATCTCACTACAGTTTTGATTTGCATTTCTCTAATGATCAGTGGTGATGAGCTTTTTTTCATGTTTGTTGGCCATGAAAATGTCTTCTTTTGAGAAGTATGTGTTCATATCCTTTGTATACTTTTTGATGAAGTTGTTTGTTTTTTTCTTGTAAATCTGTTTAAGTTCCTTGTAAATTCTGGATATGAGGCCTTTGTCAGATGAATAGATTGCAAAATTTGTCCTCCATTCTGTAGGTTCCCTCTGCTCAGTGTTGGGGAAGCTGGGACACCTGCCTGTTCACTCTGATGATAGTTTCTTTTGCTGTGCAGAAGCTCTTTAGTTTAATTAGATCCAATTTGTCAATTTTGGCTTTTGTTGAAATTGCTTTTGACATTTTTGTCATGAACTCTTTGCCCATGCTTTTGTCCTGAATGGTATTGCCTAGGTTTTCTTCTAGGGCTTTTATGGTTTTGGGTTTTACATTTAATCCATTTTGAGTTAATTTTTGTATGAAGTATAAGGAAGGGGTCCAGTGTCAGTTTTCTGCATATGGCTAGCCAGCTTTTGCAGCACAATTTATTGATTAGGAGATCTTTTCCCCATTGCTCGTTTTTGTGAGGTTTGTCAAAGATTAGTTGGTTGTAGATGTGTGGTGCTATTTCTGAGGTCTCTGTTCTGTTCCATTAGTCTATATGTCTGTTTTGGTACCAGTACCATGCTGTTTTGGTTACTGTAGCCTTGTAGTATAGTTTGAAGTCAGGTAATGTGATGCCTCCAGCTTTTTACTTAGGATTGTCTTGGCTATTACATGGGATCTTTTTGATTCCATATGAAATATAAAGTAGCTTTTTCTAATTCTGTGAAGAATGTCAACGGTAGTTTGATGGGAATTGCATTGAATCTATATATTACTTTAGGCAGTATGGCCATTTTCATGATATTGATTCTTCCTACCCATGAAGATGGATTTCTTTTCTATTTGTTTGCATCCTCTCTCATTTCCTTGAGCAGTGGTTTGTAGTTCTCCTTGAAGATGTCCTTCACATCCCTTTTAAGTTGCATTCCTAGGCATTTTATTCTCTTTGTAGCAATTTTAAATGGGAGTTCACTCATGAGTTGGCTTTCACTTGTTTATTGTTGGTGTAAAGGAATGTTTGTGATTTTTGCATGTTGATTTTTGTATCCTGAGACTTGGCTTAAGTTGCTGATCAGCTTCATATTTTCTTTTATTAGTTTAATTAACATGCTAGGTCTTAAATAAGAAGAACCCATGGAATTTTCTGAGAAAATTAGGGAGGATGAAGTTGTATCCCTCATCTTTCAGATATGATGGAGGGCACACCGATGAGCCAATGTACCATTTGGGAAATCAAGTCCAAGAAAATATGACAGAAGAGAATCAAATTGTGGGCTTAGGAAGATCTTGTTCACTCTCTTTGCTGGCTTTTAAGATATGTAGGTGTATAAGTAAAAAACATCCCACTTCTTGAGACATTTTTTAAAAAAGAAAAATTTTATTATCTTTAGTACACATGTAACAAATGATCTTCTGGGCAGAAAACTTAATTTTTTTGAGAGAGGGTCTCACTCTGTCACCCCGTCTGGAGTGCAGTGGTGTGATCTCAGCTCACTGCAGCTTTGACCTACTGGGTTCAGGTGATCCTTCCACCTCAGCCTCTGGAATAGTTGGGACTACAGGCTTGAACCACCATGCCCAGCTAATTTTTATATATTTTGTAGAGATGGGGTTTTGCCATTTTCCCGGGATGGTCTCAAACTCCTGGACTCAAGTGATCCTCCTGCCTTGGCCTCCCAAAGTGTGGGATTACAGGTGTGAGCCACCAGGCCCAGATGAAACTTAATTTTGTTCATGAGCCTGCATATACCACTGACATCATGAGAAAATATGCATTTCCTCTGACTTTATGCCAGTTTAATGTTTTTTGGCCATTACTGAGTTAAAGGCAGATTGAATACAGGGCAATTATTAGATACCTTTTTTTTTTCCTTAAGAAGGAAATGCATCTTATAAGCTGCAAAGCGTAGCACTTAGTACACATCTTTCTATGATTGATTTGTAAATTTGTAAGTGTGGGTTTTTCTTTGGCAAGTCATAACTACTCATCACCACTTGTACTGTACCTAATAATAGTTCCCACAATGTGTGTACTTCTCATAATGGAGATATTTATTGTGGTTATTATCCAACCATTCTCCTTTCTGCACCATGGGAAAGGAATTAACACTTCTCCCTGAGCTGCACAAATCTAGTCTGTGAGTTAGTGCACAGCCAGTGATTTTGCAGGTTAGATCACACCTAATAAAGTGCAGTAAGCACTAATTTTGTTTTTGGCTAAGACACCTAGAAAGTAGAGTACACACACTCCTGAAGTGAGGCAAAGTTGCCAATTGTTTGCAGTGTAGGAACAGTGTGACAGAATCTCTGACTGAAGGAAACAAACTTCTTGAGTAGAGGGTAAACTAATTTCGTATTCTTCTTCTTCTTTTTTAAAGCAAGAGACTAATAATGGCAACAAGCACTAAAAAGATAAGGAGATTTAATATACTGATAACTACTTTCAAATGAAATTGCTTGAGCCTGCATGTTGGGTATCAAAGACTTAAGGATACTAGAATGACCCCATCGCCACCTCCCCACCTCCATGGATATGCCGTAAGGCTAAACTGTCTTTTGTGCTTTTCTTTAGAAAAATGAATAGATGTTTTTGAGCAGCTTTAGGTTTACAAGAAAACGGTGAAAAAAAAAACTAGAGTTCTCTTATACCCTCAGTTTCCCCGTTAACTTCTTGCATTGGTGTGGTACATTTGTTACAACTGATGAGCCAATATTGATACATTGTTATTATCTAAAGTTCAATTTACATTAGGGCTCACTCTTGGTGCTGTACATTCTGTGGGTTTTGACACATTTTGATGACATGTATCTGTAATTACAGTATCATGTAGAATAGTTTTACTGCCCTAAAAGTCCCGTATTCCGTCTATTCACTCCTCTTTCTCCTCAATGCTGAACAACCACTGATCTTTTTACTGTTTCCACAGTTTTGCCTTTTCCAGAATGTCACAGAGTTGATATCTTACAGTATATATATAATATATA